GCGATGTGGATGCGATATGAAAAATATGTCACAGAGCAAAAGCATAAGCTCTTTGTGTGGCAGTCTTACTGAGTGAGCAACTGAGTGAGCGCACCTCTGTTCTACCCCTTAGAAGTAACCATCTACTGTAGCCTAGTGTTCATTTGATTAACGAAATGTATGACAAAAAATGTGTTTTTGTCCATGATAAGATGAGACGAAGACGAGATAACACCAACGTCATTAAACGATAACTGTGACTAAAGGCGGGCGTACACGGCGCGATTTTTGCTGTTTTACGAGTTCGCAGATGATCGCGTGGAAATCGGTGATGCTCGCATGGTCGCGGCTCACAGTGTGTGAGAGGAATTACGAGCCGAGCACCTCCCGACCTCCCGATAATTTTTAAAGATGTTTAAAAAATTCGGCCCGATTTTCACCAGCGTATAGGCTGTCCCCTATTGTCAAATCATACACACCCATGTCACAGGCTAGATCGATGGGACTATAGCTCAGTGGCAGCAACCATACAGCGTGCGCATAGACTGTCACACACACACATCCACACATCCATCTCTCTCTCTCTCTCTCTCTCTCTCTCTCTCTATGTTATTTATGTAGAAAGGAATGGCTAATGTTCTCTGCTTTTCAACAAATCATTTGCACATACATTTCTGTAATTTTTATATCTGAAGCTAGTTGCTTGTAACATTGAAAGCTCCGGTCTCTGTGTTTAGCGCGAAAGCTCACGTGATTGCAGCCGGTTTGGGATAAAATTTGTGCAGGACAGTCGTGCCGTGTACCAGCTGCTTTGACGTGATTATCAAGTTAACTGACTCGTAACGTGTGCAATATCTCAAGACCTCCCGAGTGTCCGAACTCGCACCATGTACGCCCGCCTTAACATGCCCGACATGCAATATCCTTGACGAAAGACAAGTCTACATGTAGTAAAAAAATTCAAAATTAAAATTAATAAAATAAATATAAATAAACTTGACCAAAAATCACTCTGTTTTTGTCTGGGGGAAAAAAGACAACAAAAAATTACAGACTGTTTTAACAAGCCGCTTTACGAGCATTCAGCCAGATTCAGCCCAATCAGAGCTTTTCTGTTAAAAAAAACACGTTTTCTTCCCGGTGTTTTACTTAATCTTTGCATTCTGGCAACCCTGCGTGCGCACTCTCTCTACACTGCTGAAGAAGGTGAGAGAGAGAGAGAGAGAGAGAGAGAGAGATAGAGAGAGGCGCGCGATCGAACAGTGGAAACATAAAAAACATACTCCGTCATTTTGTTCAGATCATTAAGCCTGCAAAGTGTTTACTTATATTTGTGTACTCTCGCAATAAAACACAACATTGTGCTTTTGTCACACTGTAAACTCTTGTCAAACTGTAACCTACAACTGTCACCCAACCAGAAAAACACACACACACACACACACACACACACACACACACACACACACACACACACACACACACACACACACACACACACACACACACACACAAAAACAAAACATATTTATCCAACTCCATTTCAAAACAGTCTGTGTGTTCCATCTTTTGGACATTCGTCATATTGCGTTGGTTTTCATTTCTTGTCCTCGGAGCACTAATCTTACACATTCTACATTCATTGATTAAAAAAAGAAATCAAATGTGTTTTTAATGGTAGTATTATTTTATACAGAAATCAATTATTTATAATTCAGATGAGAATAATGTTACATTGTAAATTAATAATGTTAATTAAAATTAAGGAAAACAAATATATTGATCTGAAATATAGCAAAATAATTTTAAATTAATTCAGGCACAATTACCAAACATATCGCAAGGTCTTTTTGTCTTTTTATTAATTTAATTAATAAACTAATTATATAAAACTATTGTCAGTGCACTACAAATAAACTGGTTCTATGCCTTTATTAATAAAACTTATTTAAAAAATACAACGCCTTCTGCATTTTTGTTTTGCTCTTCCCTCCATTGTACCGAAATCGTACCGAACCGTGATGTCTGAACCGAGGTATGAACCGAACCGTGACTTCTGTGTACCGTTCCACCCCTAATATATATACATACATACACACACACACACACACACATATAAATAAAATTAAAATATAAATGAAAGTCAAAAGCACAATCTTAGTCATACCTGGAAACAAATCCTGTTCAAATAGGTTATATGGGCCATTCTATAGAATTGGTTCAAAGTTAGAGTTGGAAACATTCTTGCATTCTTTCTTGTGTGACACACCTGAATGAAAGGCTCATTATACGGGTCTTTGTCTTCTCAGGTGTAAACCACTTAATTATACATGATGGGGTTGGGCCATTCACGCCCCTCCGCATATTGCCTTTCCAAACAAATTTTTTTTTTTTCATAATTTAAAACAATCTACTGTTTTATGTGAATGATTAGGCAGGATGATTTTCACATCATTTTGACCCCAGATCTCGAAGCGACAAAATCCATTAGTCAAAAGTCTTGTGGACACATATTTAGTATGTGTTTTGTGGTCTTATTTCAGCAACTTTCATTTTTATTTTTTTCAATAACCACGCATAAACATTATTCTCTTAAAAATACAAACATGTACATACATGTTGCTCACATATTATGGTAGCCCCGTTTGTGCTATATAGAGTAAATTTACACCTTTGCCATTAACATGTTTATAAATAACTGAAAAAAGCACAAATGTCAGTGCATGTCAAAACATCCCAAGGGCCCCAAAACACCTTGGTCCCCAGAGGGTTAAACCCTCAGTCATTAAATGTTAAGTGTCTTGTTTTAGTGTTTCCTGCTGGTGTTTATACCTGATGTTTATTAACCCTCTGGGGACCAGAAACGCGCCCGCGCGTTTTGCTCGTTTTTTTTTTTAGCAATGCAAAATAAACTCAAACTGCTCTGTTAATTTTGATCTTTCATGTTCGTGTTATACATCAATCGATCCTGTTCAGTTTCTATTTTTTTTCTGTATACTCACAATAAAAATAAAGTGTTTTGCTTTTTGCCAAATAAAGAAAAATGAACATGATGCGAGTTCTTCACTCTCTCTGTCAGCGAACTCCAATTTGAAACGCGTTCGGAAATGATCTGCAACTCCACGAAAATTCAGTCAAACAGGCAAACATACCCACGGGCATAAAGCTAGAGATTGCATCTTTTAAATGAAGTCATTTATATTAAAAACAAATATTCTCAGCTTCTGTAATCTGTATGAAAATAGAGCGATTCCAGTCGAGCTCATTACAAGCTCATTCACTTTAATTCGTTCACGCCTACTCCCGGAGCGCGCTATTCACAAGATAATGTGTTAAGCCATCTATGGAAAACAGGTAAACGCCCCCAAGCAAATGCATTAAAGGCTTCAAGTTTCATCATTCAGTTCACCTGCGCGTTAGGAAGTTGGCAGGATACACCGGTGTAGAAGCTCTTCAACTCGTCCTGGATACTAGCGACGAAGAATCCACATTTTCATCAGAAGAAGAGCGCGACTCTGATGACGACCGTTCGATCGAGCCGTGGATAGAATTTCGTATGAGTAAGTGTTTAGTCTTACTTCCATTAATTGACAAGCTATTCAATATAAACATGTAGCTTACATATTATACTGGGTGGACTATTTTCCACTTGCCATCCAGAGTATTGACATTTGATATATTCAACACGATCTAATGAAAGTGCATATATATACCATGAATTTAATATCTTGTGTTAAAGAGAAAAATGTTTATTTTTTTTATTTTTTATGCTACGCACTGTAAACCCTAGTTAGGAAATTTGAATGTGTAAATGATATGTTTAGATCATTGTGTATGAAAGCTAGAATGTAGACGTTATTTTAGAAAATAGGCCTACTAGATGTTTAGATTATATTTTGACTAGTTAAATGCTGCCTCATTATTATCATTGACGATGCATGCTCGCAAATATCAGTTGTAAATGTGTGTAAATGTGCTGAAATGTGTAAATATACCCAGTTAATGAATTGCGCAAATGTGTTTTGTTTGCGGTGTGCCTCTCCGGCAATGGCCCATTGACACGCATATTTATTGCACTCGCCTAAAATTATTTACATCAGTTATTCATTATAGACTAATGCTGCTATGGTTATATTTATGTAATAATATTCCTCAACTTAAAAAAAAAAAAAAAGGAATGTAGCTTCATCACTACCTCCGCCTGCAACTCGGAGTGCGCTTAGCAACACAGTCAGAAATCAGAAAGAGTAAGTACATATTTACCTACAATTTTACAGATGTTAGTTCAATTTTGTTTATACTTAGTGTTAATACAATATGAGCCTGTATGACTTCACAATTGCTTTGTTTATAGCCGACTGATTATTTATGTATTTTACTCACATTTGATTTGCTTAGAGCAAATTTAGAACATTTAGTTTCTCCAAATAGAGGAATTACAATAAAACAGATTGAAAAACCTTTGAATCTCCTCTCATTCTTTGTTCAGGCTGCCTCACTTGATGGGCCATTAGCCATTGGGGGAGTGTCTGTCACACCCCTGGTCTGAATCTCATTAATATTGATAGGCCATTACCACCCCCTCGCATAAACCTCTTCTGACAAAAAAACTGTCATACAAAGTATGAATTCATGTTTTGTTTTATGTGAACAATTAGGCAGGATGATTTTCACATCATTTTGAAGCCAGAACTCGAAGCGACAACATCCATTAGTCAAAAGTCTTGTGGACACATATTTAGTATGTGTTTTGTGGTCTTATTTCAGCAACTTTCATTTTAATTTTTTTCAATAACCACGCATAAACATTATTCTCTTAAAAATACAAACATGTACATACATGTTGCTCACATATCATGGTAACCCCGTTTGTGCTATATAGAGTGAATTTACACCTTTGCCATTAACATGTTTATAAATAACTAAAAATAGCACAAATGTCAGTGCATGTCAAAACATCCCAAAGGCCCCAAAAACACTCTGGTCCCCAGAGGGTTAAATATAAGTGTTCATCATCTTTCTGCATCAAGCCTCTTATCTCGGATTATCTCATCAAGCCAGTGTGTGACAGTAACTGATTTATCATGCAGTTCAAAGTATTTTGGGTAGAATCTCTCTACAGTCTATTCTGATTCATCAACATAGTTTCACTGATGAGTCACGATAAACCCTAAACCCAGGATAGACTGTGTGAGTGAATGTGGTCTGGACTGTGTGGATGAGGCTCATTGTATCAGAGACGTTGTAGAAAGACAGAGTTCCTGCACTGTGATCCACATACACTCCTATTCTACGGCTGATGGGCTCTACAGGGAGTTTAGTCTCTATGTTATTGTGCCAGAATGAGAATCTTTTAGGAGTGCAGAACAAACTCCAGGACTGATCATTATCTCCAAACACACACTGAACCCGTCCCTTCCTGCTGATGCTCTTGTATGACACTGATATACACACACTTCTCCCACTCCACTCAATCTCCCAGTAACAGCGTCCACACACACTCTCTCTACACAACACCTGAGGATACACATCAAATCTGTCTGGATGATCAGGATACAACTGATCTCTGCTAGTGAATTTAATCACGCTGTTCCTCTCAGACAGACGGAGGATTTTATGTGCTGTGTTCAGATCCAGATTGAGCTGATGGGAATCTGATGGAGATAAAAACATACCAGAATCAGGAATCAGGAATTATGAATTTGATCTTTTAATGTACACTGCAAAAAATATTTTTGAGTGCTTGTTAAACAATTAAAATTAGTTAAAACCACACAATTACTGAACATTTTGTCTTTACCTAATTTTATTGTGTAAAATCCACTTGAATATGTAAAATTAAAGTTTACTTAATCCATTTGAACTATCTGAATAATTAGTGTTGAATTAACTTCTACAGTGGATTTTTAGTTCCCTTTTCGAAAGGGAACTTGCACTGCGTCGATGACACTATGGGGAACGCCCTCCACGTGTACCGGTGTCTGAAAAGCTATCTGTCATGAAGGTGGTTGAAGCAAGGGAGGAAGCAGGATCCAAATGCAGCACACTTTATTAACTAAACTACAAACTATACAAACTCACAGCAGGAAATATGACTCAGGGTCAGAACAACCAACATCCATGTTACAACATCAAGAACTCACAAAGACTGGACTGAAACACAGGGCTTAAATACAAGGCTAAACAAGATAACAAGGGGGCATGGTATACATGAACACAAACGAGGAGCGGGAAAACTGAACAGGACTGAACCAAAAGCACAAAGACAGGGGGAACACAGACAGACATTACAACATAGCCCCCCCTCTATGGGCGGCTCCCGACGCCCATCAAAACTAGAAACATAGTTCGGGAGGGTGGTGGAGCGGAGGCGGTCCCGGGGGAGGGATGGAGGGCCAGGTCCGTGCAGGGAACGGGACCGGGGTCTTGCGATGGCGGGCCTGGGCCATGGAACGTGGGCGGACCTGGGCCATGGAACATGGGCAAGGCAGGCTGTGGACCCTCGGGCGTCCAGGACGGAGCTGTCGGACCCTCGGGCGTCCAGGACGGAGCTGACCCTTCGGGCGGCCACGGCGGAGAAGACCCCTCGGGCGGCCACGGCGGTGAAGACCCCTCGGGCGGCCACGGCGGTGAAGACCCCTCGGGCGGCCACGGCGGTGAAGACCCTTCGGGCGGCCACGGCGGTGAAGACCCTTCGGGCGGCCATGGCGATGCAGACCCTTCAGGTGGCCATGGTGGTGAGGACCCTTCGGGCGGCCATGGCGGAGCCCTATGGCCCCCCCCCCCCCCCCAAAAAAAAATTCTTGGGGAGGGTGACGGAGTCTGACAATGACTCTAGAATAGAGTCGGGGACAGGCTCTGGAACAGTCTCTGGCTGGGCAAGCGGTGAGGGCTCTTTGCTGGACAGGACCAGTGGCGATGGTTTTGAGCTGGGCAGGACCAGCAGTGGAGAAGGCTTTGAGCTGGGCAGGACCAGCAGTGGAGAGGGCTTTAGGCTGGGCAGGACCAGCGGTGAAGGAAACTCTGGGCTGAACAGGACTGGCGCAGGATCAGCGGGCTCTGGCGCAGGATCAGCGGGCTCTGGCGCAAGTGTGTGCGCAGCCCACACACACCACATGGCTGTGGCCATAATGGCCAGTGTTGCGGTCACTGAGGGCTCAGGCAGCGCACGCGTGGCGTGAACAGTCTCTGGCTGGGCAGACGTGACCTGAACAGTCTCTGGCTGGGCAGATGTGACCTGAACGGTCTCTGGCTCAATGTGGCTGACGTGAAGCTCTGGCTGGACGTGGCTGACGTGAAGCTCTGGCTGGACGTGGCTGACGTGAAGCTCTGGCTGGACGTGTCTGACGTGAAGCTCTGGCTGGACGTGGCTGACGTGAAGCTCTGGCTGGACGTGGCTGACGTGAAGCTCTGGCTGGACGTGGACGTGGCTGACGTGAAGCTCTGGCTGGACGTGGCTGACGTGAAGCTCTGGCTGGACGTGGCTGACGTGAAGCTCTGGCTGGACGTGGCTGACGTGAAGCTCTGGCTGGACGTGGCTGACGTGAAGCTCCGGTGAAGGCTCGGCTGGACTGGACGGAACCAGCGGTGAAGGCTCGGCGGGACGAGACTCTGGGTCTATGGCCTTCCTGGCAGCACGTGCTGATATCAGCGGGGGATCGGCCGCGCTGGAAACTAGTCCCGGACGGCTATAGACCGATCTGGAGGCTGGCTTGATGACTGGCGTGATGTGAAGAACAGACTGAAGGGATACTGCGGGTTCACGGAACTTCTCCTCCACGGCCACAGTAAATGAAGAATCGCTCAGGAAAAGGGCCAGGTTGATATACCTTTTTAGCGTCCAGCCGGTATAGACCTCCGGCATCATCTGAGCGATCTTCTCGTCCAGCCAAAGATGCTAAATGGCAGCACGCCCAGAAATCCTTCACATACCTTTCAATGCCCTGGCTATCTTGGAACATTGAGGAAAGGAACTTCTTCAGGGCCTGGTTGCTTGTGGCTGCTGGACTCATTTCGGTGAGTTCTTCTGTCATGAAGGTGGTTGAAGCAAGGGAGGAAGCAGGATCCAAATGCAGCACACTTTATTAACTAAACTACAAACTATACAAACTCACAGCAGGAAATAGGACTCAGGGACAGAACAACCAACATCCATGTTACAACATCAAGAACTCACAAAGACTGGACTGAAACACAGGGCTTAAATACAAGGCCAAACAAGCTAAACAAGATAACAAGGGGGCGTGTTATACATGAACACAAACGAGGAGCGGGAAAACTGAACAGGACTGAACCAAAAGCACAAAGACAGGGGGAACACAGACAGACATTACAACACTATCCAATCACGGCAATCGATATTGACCGCCGACAGCCTATGACGTTTCTACTAGTGCGACCCAGAAGTATAAGAGGGGCGCCTAGAGAACATGTCATCCTCTTTCCGTCCTCAGGGACTGTTTTCCCTTGAGAAAACTCCACTCTCGTCTGGCCCTTTTCTTGAGGGAAAAGAAACAGACATCTGTCCCAGGCGATTCAGGTCCCGCTTGAGCTGAGGCAGAGCAGAGACTAGAATCATGGGGTTTCAGAGCGAGCTCGCCGAGGAGTTTGAGAGAGTTGTTTATCTCTCACGCCCCTCGGAGGCTCAAGAGTTTGAGCTGCTGGATGAGGATGTGTTGTCACTAATATCAGCCCAAGAAGGCAGGAGATGGCTGATGAGGGTGAAGAGGATTTACAACCTGAACACTCACAACCACCCTCCCCCGCGTATGATGAGTTGTGAGTGTTGTGTAACGCGCTAATTATTCACTAATTATTCAGATAGCAGGCTTTGCTGCCAGAGGAGCACGTGAGGGAAGAGACTGCTCGTGGCAGACTTTATGAATGGTTTCTTTCCAGCCATACCACTTCAGCTCCCGTGAGCCTTCCATTCCTGCCTATACAATGAGATCGAAAAGGCATTGAAGAACCCGTGTTTAGCGTGCATCCATCGCAATCAGCAAGCAAACTATGCTGATGTTGAGAGGATGCACGAACACAGGTATGTGTACACACTAAGTGCTCTGGCCCTGCCTATTAAACTAACATCGTGCTGAAATGGCAGGGCATACGCGCTGGCGGATCTGGCTGGTGATGCATGACGGCGTTCTTCCACGATGGGTTTCGCGTCACGGCATTTAAGGTGATGCATTCTAAAATAACGCTCACCTTGTGGAGGACATGCAGTAAGTCATGAGAGGTGTCGTATTTGGCCAGAGAAGGCAAAAAATGTGAAAAGAATTGCTGAAATTTAAAGCTGGGTTGTAGCATACCGAATAGGCTACAGACTACTTTGCTGTTATAAGTACTATAGTGTTATTTAGTGTTAAATTATTGTATTTGGGTTTTATTGTGAATTTGTTATGTAAATGTGTTGTGTTTTGTATTTATACTACTTATATATTTACTATTACTATATTCAATTTTAAGATGTTTTTTGTTTTTGTTTTGTTTTTTATAAAAAAAAAAGTTATTTAATGTCATTCACCATCGTTTTGAGGCTCTCTTTTTTTAAAAGTATCGGTTCAGACACCGGAACAGTTTTACCTACCCTAGATATGACAATGTTGATATGTTTGGTTTTGGTGGAATAGATCTTCTACGCTGCTGCTGCTGCTTTTATTGTTGCTGGTGCTGTAGGTTATTGCTGCTGCTGCGACAGAGCAAGTACGACAGAGCAAAGTAGTACTTGCTACTGCCAATACATACACGACACGCTGCTGTGAGCAAGTAAGACATGCTGCTACTGTAGAATATAGCGTACATGAATTACCCCCCAACAGAGCAGGTGACATGATATTTGAACAATACAAGCCAAATGTACTGCACAGGTTCTACAGCCGGTACTTCATATAGCCAAAAAGGATGGGGGGTGCATCCCATTATAGATCTCAGGATATTGAATCGTTCTCTAAGGAGATTCAGGTTGAAAATGTTAACTATCCCTATCACCGTGAGTCAAATAAGGTCCGAGTACTGGTTTGTCAGGATAGATATCAAGGACGCTTACTTCCATATATCCATCCTTCCTCAACACATGAAGTTCCTGAGGTTCGCCTTTGGGGGAAAAGCGTACCAATATCGTGTTCTTCCGTTCGGCCTAGCATTATCCCCTCGCACCTTAACGATACCACTTAGCCTGCAGTATCTCAGAATAGGCCTCTCCAGCCTAAGACTGGCAGCTAGTGATGCTGGTACGCCTCCACTCACTGTGGGAGTAACCCAGCCAGGGCCGCCTTCTGCATTAGGCTAATAATGCGAGTCGCAGATCCTGTGGCCTCCTCTAACTGCCTAGGTTGAGCTGACTCCTCTTTATACTAGAGTAGAAGCGATATGCTGAGCTACAGTTCCATAGCGGTGTTTGGCACAGACAAATAGCCAGGTGTTGCAGGCTATTTCTTTGGAAAGCGTCCCCTGTGGTTGTCACCTGGGTGTTGTCAGGTTCCTCTCGCTTAGAGAGTGACAAGCACTATGCTGAAGCCGCCACTCTCTCTAGAGCTTTGGTAGTAGCATTATCTAGCCTGTGGCCTTAAGAACAGACTCTCCTGTGAAAGCTCCTTGATTTTGACCATCAAGTCGTGGGGTTGAGTGGTTAGTCCTCCTCCATGATATAATATCTCTTCCTGCTGAGGCCTCTATGTAACGGGAGGGGAACACTGACTGTTGACAACCTGTGAGGGTGGGTTAATGTTTATCAGGTGTGCACGTGTATTGGTAAGGCTCTATTTACAGGTGCGTCCAATATTGCTGATAAGCCGGCGTTGCAGCGTGATTGGCGGATCCACCCAATAAAGCTACAACATGCGGTCCAGTGAAGAGAAAAAAAAAAGACCGTGACCAGTTCGACTGTCTCCAACGAACCGGCGCTAAGCCCAACGAAGCATCCACGCACGACTTCACGCCGTGACGACTATCGATTGATCCATGGCAGCGAGGGGTCTACGATATAAACCAACGCACTCTACTCCTCTTGATTAAGGGAAGTGTGAATTCTTATCACGAATGAACAAGTGGGCACTGACGTGCGTTTGTGTAGAACTCATTTCCCTTCCTCTGTCTCGCATCTAGGATTTACATGTTCCGGATTTCCCTGCTGGCCATTCGGAGTGTACTGCTAATCGCCCGAAGCTGGGACTTGTGTGTGCCACTGCAGATTATTGTTGTTTCGCCGTTAGCGCCTGCCATACTAAGAGCGCCGAGTGGGCGGGGTCGTGAGTGACTTGATGTTGACGGTGTTTTAAGAAATTCTGCCAAATGCACACAACTGTTGTTTTGCTTATTTAAATTTCTATTGGCTTAGTGAGGTGGTTATTGTGGCTGCTCGCCTAGGTTTCATTTTCTGTCTGGCGTCATCCAAAAGGAATTAGTTTGGAGGCTACTATTAATTAAACTAATATAGTTTTAGAAATGATATCTCTTATTGTGTGGGGTTTATTTTGAAGTGCTGACACCTGTACATTGTTACACTTATCATCTGCTCTTGCTGTGTACTTCTCACGTGTGAATGTGTGCTGTATTAGGTACGATTTTCTTCAACGTATTAGGGTAATTCGTGTGATAGCCTCTCTTGGTTTATTCACTGGTCACAAGGGGCGCCAGATTGTGGTATTACTTCTAACCATTGAACTGAAGCAGCCAGCTACATAACATTTATTGTGTTTTTTTTAATCTTTTTGATCGTGTATATTACTGCGAGTAGTTTTTGAACTGCTGTCTAAATAAATTTTGTACTTTTTGTACGATTTGTGTATGTCTGTTACTTGTGTATCACAAGGGTAGTCCTGCGTGTTTAAAAAAAATAACACTTGCTACATCCTCCAAAACTTATCTCAGACATCAACCTGTCATGGACCTTGAGTCGAGTAACACTTCCGCGACAGCGCGCACACTACAAAGATATAATCAATGAATCGAAACTAGCTTTTTGACAGCGCTACACTTAAGTGCAATAAAGTTCAAATTGCAACACTTATCAGACGCGGCTATTATTTTAAATAGGAACGCGTCTAATTAAAATACTGGATATTAAGAGAAAAACCACTTGCGCGCTCTTGCCGCGTCCACAGACTGACCGCTTGTCCTGTACTTTTTAACTTTCTTCTAGTTTATATCCATTCAATTGCTGCCTCTAGATTCATTACCAAGAAGTTGGCCCTCAAGCAGGCCACCTTGAAGGGGATCCTCCGGGTCAAGCTAGGTTTTTAGCACTTTTAGCTAAATCCGTGTCCTAGCTTCCTAGAGTTACATCATGCTGCAGGCTCCTCTGAAGCCTCTCTGTTATTGCTTAGAGCATGGTCGATGCTCTTGAAGCTTTATGTTCAATATATCAGCAGTGTCTTAGTACAGTTTACCAGATATCCTGTGCAAATCATCATTTACATGAACAACTCTAAAACTTTTCTATCATGTTTTCTTTCACCTTCAACGGGAAGAACATGAACACATTCAGTGAGTTTTCTGCTTGTTTTCTTAGTGACTTACATTGTAGGAAGTCGTTCCTGGTCTTGGGAACAATGTTGGTGAAAGTGACTGTGGAAATCAACAGATGTGAAGAGTGTGATTATCAGGTCAAGAGTAAATTATCCTTGCATCTGTTCCTAAGACATTTCTAATTTGATATTAGATGATGGAGGATCATTTCTGAGATCAGGATCTCCAGGACTTTACCTCTGTCAGAGATCTTCTTGATGTCCTCTTTGCAGATATCCTCCAGTTTGTCTCTCAGCTGACGGACAGATTCTCTCACGCCATCAAAAGAGGAGAGAGAACTAAAGGGATTGTCATTTATGTCTGTCGATTCAGGAGGAGCTGAGAGAGACTGGCAACTCTAAAGAAAAAAGAAATCATAGCTCATCACCTCCACACCTCAGCCAATAACCTGCTCTACTGTCAGATTTGTGCAGCTCTTGTTGATCTTTAGTAACTCTCCTCAATCCAGCCCTTCTCATATTCATTGTATGACATTAGAGCTACAAATTCTAGCGTTTGCCATTTACACTATATGTGAACTTTCTAGTAAATCATTTGGATGATAAAGCATCTACCAATAACATAAATGTAACAGATCAAGCGCATCAGTGGTGTCACATTGAGGGCTGTTTCTAGACACAGATGAAATAGTTAACATGGTGACATAATGACACTGCATTTTAGCAGAAAATCACCATGTGCTAAGAACATTTAAGCAGAAGATATAATGTTTAAACAATTTTAGAAACACTTCTATCTTGAATCCAAATATTTAGTGTATTTTAAAATTATTAAAAAAAAATAACAAAAAGAATGACAGCAACAGCAAAATACCATGTTGGGTTGGTTATACCCACATTTAAAAATATTAATAATATTTTTCCATAAACCATGAAAGTGATCCATTCACATGTGGAAATAAAATCTAAAGGTCAGTAATATAAACTGTAATATGTAACTGTAACAGTAAACTAACCAACATCTATCTTATATGAAGTATTTTAAATAATAATAACCTTAATCTGCTAACACTTTACAACAATGTTCAGTTAAATGTTTTTAGTTATTGATGAACAAATAATTTACAAAACATGACTATATATTCATAAATGATTAATAAGTGGTATGCTAACAATCTACAAATGTGATGTAAATTATCTTTAAAAATTAGTTCACGAGTTCCTTTACCCATATAATACGAGTTCCGACACTAGGCCGGTTGGATGTACTGCCAAATTCTCTGAAACGCCTTTGGAGACGGCTTATGGTAGAGAAATGAACATTCAATTCAAGGGCAACAGCTCTGGTGGACATTCCTGCAGTAAGCATGCCAATTGCATGGTCCCTCAAAACTTGCGACATCTGTGGCATTGTGCTGTGTGATAAAACTGCACATTTTAGAGTGGCCTTTTATTGTGGCCAGCCTAAGGCACACCTGTGCAATAATCATGCTGTCTAATCAGCATCTTGATATGCCACACCTGTGAGGTGGATGGATTATCCCGGCAAAGGAGAGGTGGTCATTAACACAGATTTAGACAGATTTGTGAACAATATTTGAGAGAAATAGGCCTTTTGTGTACATTGAAAAAGTCTTAGATCTTTGAGTTCGGCTCATGAAAAATGATGGAAAAAACAAAAGTGTTGCATTTATAATTTTGTTCAATGTAATAAGGTTAAGCATATTTGGCTTGCTGTCCGCAGTGGAGGGGCTCGAGGAAGCAGTTTCAACTTGAATTTAAATATACCCCCCAGTGGGACTACTAATGCTTAGATTATGAGTATGGTAGCAAGATGCCTAAAATATGTTGGTGGATTTAGGGAGGTGAAGGGATTCCAAAACAGCTGATGCCAGAGCAAGGTGAGCGGGTGCTTATATGCTCCGGCAGTTAATTGAAAGATTAGATGGGTTCACTCCTACCGTAATTACGTTGTGAACTTCACTAAATCATGAAATAATCTCCTGACTGTAAGTCATTCAAAAATGTTTATTCACTTGAAATCAAATAAATTATGCATCTTAAAAATAGTGCTTTAGCAGACCTGCATGTTTGTCTTACAAATTCATGATACATCAATAAATTATAAACTATGGTGACCGGGAGGGGACATGTTTGGTTCACTTAGTTTTGTCATGGCCACGTGTTATTAATTTGTGGGAAAGTCATATTAACTTTGTGGGAACATGGTAATAAGTCGTGGCCACAAGATCATTTTGTTGAGGTAACGTCATTCACCTCACATATGGGGGGTGAAAACTTTTGAAGCAACAGAAGATACTTACATGTTTCTCGGAATACAAATTAAGAACAATTTACCTTGATCTTCAAATTCAAAAAGTTTTTGATAGTTGTGTTTGAGTCCCTCAATCGTCCTCAGTGTGAAAAGATGGATCTCAAAATCATACAGTCACTGTTGGAAAGGGTTCAAATATGTTAAAGATGCTGGAAAACCAAAGAATGTGCAAGATATTGCTGAAGAATGTTGGCCAGTTTAACTGCTCGGGACAAATAAGGGACTCAAGAACAACCATCACAAAAAAAAAAACAGTCGTGGATCATCCAGGTAACGACTCGGCGCAGTAATATCATCTCTCGTGAAAAGTCATCTCCCCCCGCTCCCTCTCCTCCTCCCTCTCATTTCAACGGTAGCGGACTTTTCACGAGAGATGATATTACTGCGCCGAGTCGAAGTGCTCCCAAGCACTTGCTATGGTATTCTGCCATACAATATAGTTATCCATTTTACACACTTAGAAAAGCGCAACGTTTTATTTTGTGTCACCGTCTTGGTCTAGTTACACTATTCTAGTAACTGTATTTAAATAGGGAAAACGTGGAGGTGTTTGGTCGCTTCTCTTCTTGGCACGTATTGAATGAACAGGGCTGAGATAAGATCTAACAAAGTTTCGCCGCAAGACAGCGATGTAGTGCACGCACTGAGACGAGAGAGGTATGTGTCAACTCGTCTAAGTTAAGGGAATAACATAGTTTAATATGAAAAACCAGTAAAGTATCCCTTTAACATTGGATCTCGAGGCCACGACTTTACACTTTACACGTTCCCACAAGTTAATATGATGTGGCTACAACAAAACTAAATGAACCGAACATGTCCCCACCTGGTCACTGTAATATACTGATCATTTACTGATGGTTTGTTCATCATTTGTTCATGATTATCCTTGGTTTATTGAGATAATGATACTAAAACAATTTTAACATAAATATATTAATCACTTACAAATTATTTTAATATCAACTAATAACATCTTTATAACATTAATCACCTACTATTGATGTTTGATTATTTAATGATTTACTATTTTTTAAGATAATTTACAACATATTTATCTTTTATTAATCAGTATAAAGAAGTATATTCATGTTTTGAAAATGATTAGTTCATCATAAACTAAATACTAAAATTAAATAAACTAAATTAATAACTCAAAAATGACTTATAATTGAACGTTATTATAAAGTGTTACCCATGAACTAAATCATATGCATCAGTCATCATCTTAGCTCTATTGCGTAAATTGAAATTATACAATTATAGAAAAGACAGAGGCAGATCCGGTGGGAGCCCCGTGGAGCCAAAGGGGTGGAGGGCTGAGGCGCAGCCAGAGGTCCGGAAGTCTATGGTGAATCCTGGATGGAAGCTGGATGAAGCCTGCGGAAAGGAAGGAGCTGGACAGAACTTGCGCGGCTTTTGGATGACCTCCATGGTTGGAACGCAGGAGCCAGGAGGCTGGGTGGGACCAGCAGAGGAAAGGCCAGGGAATTATTGGGAACCAGAAAGTCCATTAGGCCTGGTGGGACCGGTGGAGAAGAAGAGACCTCAAGGGTGGTAACATGGGTAGGAGTCCATTCTAGAATATGTAGGTCAATGAGTGCTAGCACCGGGACCACCGTATTAGGGATCCTCCTCCTCTTCACCCACTGTGCAGGGGGAACCACAGGCAAAGACCCTCAAAGTCTGCTCTTTGAGACCGGCATAATATAAGGAATCAGGGTAGTGCACCATTGCGATCTAGATGCAGATTCTCATGGGTGTGATCCTCAAGGGAACGGTCAAAGAATTATGAAATTGCACATCTATAAGGTTTGAAGATCACCTGAAGAAACTTTGGTGAACATTACTCAAAATTGGTACCATCAATTTCACCATGATGTAAGAAATCAGAAGGGAAAAATTGGTTTTAAAAATATGTTCTGGAAGTTTTTAACTGTTCTTTGCACTAGTGGAGTTTGGCAGCTAAATATATCTCCCAGAAGAAAGAGCTCAGAACATGTTTCCTAAGAGATTTCCAGAGCTGAAATGCATTCTCAAGTGTAGTCTATTTTGATCAGACGAGAATCTACCTTGAGATTATATAACACAACAAATAGAATTCCTGGCATCATTGCAGTCAACAGCTCATTCTACTCTCATGAAATGTTTCTCTGAGAGTCTCTTGCTCAAGCTCACTATGACCCTGTTCTTCTAGATCTCCGTTACCTGCAGGAAATGGATGTGATCCTGTGTGTGTGAAAGCTGCTCCAGCTCAGCGTCTCTCCTCCTCAGATCATTGATCTCCTGCTCGAGTCGCTCCAGTCGTCCTTCAGCTCGACTCACTGCAGTCTTTTCCCGCTGTGTCGCCTCAGAGCCGCTTCTCTCAATGGAGCGGATAAGCTCAGTGAAGATCCTCTCACTGTCCTCCACTGCTGTCTGTGCAGAGCGCTGTTAGGACACACATCACAATCACACAGTGAGCTTCAGTGAGTCCTGACTGAGACTTCTCAAACTTCTCTTCTTCTCCAGACTCACCTTATGAGACGCCACAGCCTCTCTCAGCTGCTGAAGATCTTTCTCTCTCTGCTGGATCCTCTGCTGGAACGACCTCTGCGTCTCCTTCAGCTGCTTCTGCACCACAAATCAATAACAGAGATGTCAGTTTATAATGCTGTCACATATCTGTCAGGGTTCTGTCACTTTGGTCTAGTTTATTCTTGGTTTTGTGCCATAGCCCTGACACTCCTGTATTGTCTTGTCTTTGTGTGAGCATACGTTCTCCTGTCTGCGTGCCTTGTTTCATGTTCGAAGCGTGGTGTTCGGATTCCAGCACTCATGTCTAGTTTGGTTTCGGTTCTGTGTTGGGATTCGGACATTCATGCTCTGAGTGTTTCTATTCTGTTGTGAGTTCACAGGATGAGCATTCGCTCAATCTCATGCACTCTGTCTTGTTATGTGAGCATGCTGTTTTGAGTTTACTCTGGCCATACGCTCTTCTGTCCGCGTGTGGTGTTGTGTTCTGTGTAGCACCATTGCCTGCATGCTTTCGTGTTATGCTTTGTCTTGTGCTGAACAGCATGGGAATAGTGTTCATCATTGGTTCATTTGCCCCACGTTTTCCCTTATCACCTGCCTTGTTTGCTCCCTATTTATTGTCCTCGTGTTTGCAGTTTTGTGCCAAATCGTCGTCAAATGTTCCCCTTGTGTCCTGCCCTGACAGATCCTATTTGCCTAGCCAATTCATGCCTTGTCCAGTTGCTGGTCTTGTTCCCCCTCCCCCATAGGGTCGACAGAACAAAAGCCAACGCCTGAAGTGAAGCTATAAATTAGTTCATATGGACTGAGACAGATTTACTGAAAAGAAAGTGTTTTTTTCTGTCGCTGCATTTAACTTGTGTTATTCTTGACAGATATATTTCATCAAAGCCTGTTTTACAAAAATTTGTGGTGGTAAATATGGTTACATTTCATTTCACTATATTTTCTGTTAATTTTAGTGTGGAGCACTAATACGCTCAGCAGTGAAAGTTCACTTGCAGCTTCTATTCATTTCTGACATCTGCAGTGTGAATGATGTTACCTGATCATACCAGTAACAATATAAAAAGTGTCAACATTATTTCATCAGTGTCTAGTTTAAAGTTCATACCTGATTCTCTGTCCTCTGCGCTGCAGCTGATACAGTGTCGTGGTTTTTATGTTCATCCATCGTACACAGCAGACATATACACTTCTGATCAGTGCGGCAGAAAACCTCAAGGAGTTTATCATGTGTTTGGCAGATCATCTCCTGCAGTCGTCCAGTGGCATCAGTCAGATTGTGTCTCTTTCTTTTAAAGAAACTCTCATGTTGTTCAAGGTGATTCTCACAATAAGACTCCAGACACTCCAGACAGGACTTGATGGCTTTGCGTTTTCTTCCATCACAGACGTCACACTGCACATCTCCAGCTCCAGCGTGACAGTCAGCAGGAAGTTTAGTCTTCTTCAGTTTCTCCACCACTTCAGCCAGCATGGTGTTTTTAGCTAAAGCAGGACTTGGACTGAAGGTCTGTCTGCACTGAGGGCAGCTGTAGACTCTCATCTGATCCTCCTGATCCCAGCAGCCTGTAATACAGATCTTACAGAAACTGTGTCCACAGGGAATGGTCACTGGATCCTTCAGGAGATCCAGACACACTGAACACTTGAACTCATCCTGAGAAATTCTGGCTTCTGCCATTTTACTGCTTGAATACAGAGACACAAACACACAACAGCTCAACTGCACTTCAGTTTCAGTTTCTCTGAACTGAAGAGTTTCCTGTTTCCTGGTTCTGTGTTTGAGTGATGTGTGAAAAACATGTGTCTGCAAATCTGTAAAGCAGGTTCCTCACTCCTTGTTTAGTGGGTTTCCGTCTGCGTTGTTTTCTCTTCTTAATAAAAGAGATCCCACACGATGATGCAGTTGTGATGTGATTTACTCTCGGCTTCTCTCAGTTTCTGTATCAAAATATAACAGACCTATAACAGACCCCATCAGACACTTCTAACAGGGAGAATCTCTGGTCCATGCCTCTCATCGCCATGACATCCCGCGAAAGAGAGAGGGCGCCCGGAAATTACATCAGCTTTACACTCATGCCTACACGATTTATTATTTCAAAATAAAATGCCCTTAAATTAATTAATTAAATTAAACAATTCTTCCAATAATCTAGTGTAACAACATACACTCATCACATCCACCCCCACTGTTTTACATCTCTATTCAGTAAACAACAATCAACTCAGCTCGAGTAACATAGTGAAATTTACAATACTCACTTTCTCTAGGAAGCACACGCTGAAAAACATTTAATTATTGCTTATAAATTTTGAAATATTTTCTTGATACCCATAGTACCATTTATTCAGTTCAGAACTTTGGGCTTTGTTGGACATAAAATTGTGCACCTTACTTGTTGTCTTTTCATATTCATCGACATCTGCAGGTTTAATGAGTTCAACAAAGCAAAGAAAGGGGCCAGTGCAGAGGGACAGAGCAGCATTGATACATTCTTAAGCCAGACAAGAGGTATGCAGCTATACAGCCAGGGGCATCCCAGACAGAAGGCCATTACTGAATCCATAATACATGAAATACCTCATCATTTCATGCAACCTACCTCTGTCTTTGATTGACAAGCCTAGCTCCAGGAATTTTATGTCAGTGGTAGAGGAGAGATACTGCCCAGTAAGTCGAATCACCAAAACCAGACGTCTGAGTGAGCTAGATCATTGATGATGTCAGGTACTGTCGAGAATCTGAAAGAGGACCCAGGCGCTGAATAGCTGGGGGGGGACACAAGGAACCAGAGGCTTGATCTCTTCGCTGTAGCACCAGTCTAGCTGCAATGCAGTGAATGTCAGTGGTCAGGAATTCTCAGGATGCAGGGCAGGGACAAACACAAGACTTACAATGGACAAGACAAGACACAACAAGATAACAGGGCAAGACAATAGAATAATTAAATAGGAAATATAAAAATAAAGACTGAAACAGAACAATGACTAGTGAGGCAAAACAAAAGAAAACTAGGAATAAAGTTACTGAAACTTGCAATCAAAAAATAAAACAAAAGAATAAACTGACATGGACCTACATATGATAATCTAGAGTAGAAATAAAATCAAAAGAGAAAAAACAAAAGACTAAAACTAACTAGAACAAGACTAGAAGGAAAAAGGCAAATTGATACACTAGAGCTAGAAAGATCAATATTACAACAAGAACTAGGTTTAACCATACACACAAGGCAAACAGGAATAAACCACAAAAGCACACAAAACGAACCAGCAAAGACAAGAGGGAAAAGCCACAATATAAAGGGACCAGAGCACATGAGGATCAGTTGAGCACAATTAGTGAAATGAGGACCAGACGTGGACTATACAAGGGGGCGTGGTAATGGGAAACAAGGAGGAGATATGCATATCATTTTTAAAAAGCCTATACAGTATGTATTTGTACACAATTATTACAAAAAGGTACGCAGTGTATGTTCTTGCTAAATTGCTCCCAATTGTAAGATTGTTGTATCATAATAGTAGAATAAGTACCCCTTAGTTCTATAATACTTACAGTATAAATATTTTTTTTAATTCTCCTGGTTGTTACCCCTTTATTCCCCAAACTTTACATATTGTTCCCTTATACTTACATGTAAGTACACTATAATTACAGACAGTTACACTATAAATTCCTCTTAATTACACAGTACTTTCCGGGCTGTAATCTAAAGCGTTAGCCTTATCTTTTTCAAATGACTCTTACACTGGGAACAATGTGTTGATTAGGGGTATTGGTCTGAATGTGATATATGTTCCCTTACATAAAATTGTTTTGCATTCTGACTTGATCCAGGGAGAAGTGGAAGTTGCTGTGCGTTCTTGCTTGCCTGTGGACGGAGTACAGGTGATCCTGGGAAATGATTTGGCTGGTGAACGAGTTTGGCAGAATGTTTCATCGAATTAGGTCGTCACACCATCTGGGTCGACTTTTGACAGGAGTGATGATATTTTTACCTGTTCTTTGAATGGGTTTCCGTCATGCGTGATAACCAGGTCTATGAGTAAAATACCTGCTGATGTTACATCTGAAACTAAAGAGATGTTGTTCTGTTTAGGCCAAATTCTGACTCTACCATCTGAATGTCTCAACAGAAATCGAGACTCATCAGACCAGGCAACATTTTTCCAGTCTTCAACTGTCCAATTTTGGTGAGCTCTTGCAAATTGTAGCCTCTTTTTCCTATTTGTAGTGGAGATGAGTGGTACCCGGCGGGGTCTTCTGCTGTTGTACCCCATCCGCCTCAAGGTTGTGCGTGTTGTGGCTTTACAAATGCTTTGCTGCATACCTCGGTTGTAACAAGTGGTTATTTCAGTCTAAGTTGCTCTTCTATCAGCTTGAATCAGTCGGCCCATTCTCCTCTGACCTCTAGCATCAACAAGGCATTTTCGCCCACAGGACTGCCGCATACTGGATGTTTTTCCCTTTTCACACCATTCTTTGTAAACCCTAGAAATGGTTGTGTGTGAAAATCCCAGTAACTGAGCAGATTGTGAAATACTCAGACCGGCCCGTCTGGCACCAACAACCATGCCACGCTCAAAATTGCTTAAATCACCTTTCTTTCCCATTCTGACATTCAGTTTGGAGTTCAGGAGATTGTCTTAACCAGGACCACACCCCTAAATGCATTGAAGCAACTGCCATGTGATTGGTTGATTAGATAATTGCATTAATGAGAGATTGAACAGGTGTTCCTAATAATCCTTTAGGTGAGTGTACTTCGATATATCACGCTTCAATTTTGGCCAAAAGAAATGTTTCAAAAGCAATTTGTATGTCTTTTTCACTCCCAAATGTCCAGATGTGTCATGTGCCGTTTTTAAAACATGTTGACAGAGAGACTGAGGGACTACAATTTGTAGAGCCGAATCACCAATTACAAATTCTCCTTGCGGCATCCACTTATGGACCAACACATCTTCCTCTAGATAATACCCAGAAGAAATATTTACGATTGTGTCATAAGGGACAACTCGATCAAACAATTGACCTATGGCTAAGCCACGCTCCCTCCACTCACTCGGACAAACAGTCAACATTCGGTGACAGGCGCTATGGCAGCTGTCACAGTAGGAGACATTTCACAGGAGGCAATTGATGATTTTTGGAGACAGAAAGATTATATATCATCTCGAAGTCACCAAAAGGGCCTTAACTATTCATTGGAGGGTTATATTAATAATTGTATTGTTGAGAAGGTCGATGAAAAGCTTCAGCTCCAGGCAAAAATGTACAGGTCACAGTGTATCGGCATTGTTCATGCACTGCAGTATTTACATTAATCTTTCAGCACAACATTGCTAACATTTGTTATCTCGGTTATTTAAAGATACGTTAATGAAGCTAAGTGACATGATGTACAACGCAGCTAGTTGTAAGCTAACGTCAACGTTTTCTAATGTTAGGCTAACGTTAGTGTTACGTACTCGTACGTATTCAAAGTGTTGCAATATGGAGATATGTGTAGTTTGGTGTTGTTGTTGTTGTGGTGTGTGTGTTTCAGGTCTTCGTTGAATCAATCTACCACCTGTCAATCTTAATGAAGGATGATGACGTTTCGGTTCACCTCATCCAATCACATCTCACCACTTCATTCAAATGTCCGTGATCACTTCCATGTCAACAGCTGTTTGCTCACTTTTTGTTTGTTGCGCTTGGTTGACTTGCTGTCAGTGATTTGTCTGTGTGTCTAACATTCGAGTTCTGTTTAATTGTTGCATTGTTTTGAGGATACTGTTCAGCCTGACCAGTTTACACGGAGTGTGTAAAGCTGGGAAGAGAGCAGGTTAGTAGGTCGCGCGACATACACTTTGCACTTAGAATGTTTTGGATTATGTTAGACACACTAGTTTAGGAGAGTGCCCACTTTGTAAGTTTTGTTATTTAGTTAGTGTAGTTTAGTTAGAGCGTCTTGACGCGAAGATTTCTTTTCTACATTTTAGTTTGGTAGTTAGGTTAGCCGAATTAACTTTTAGCTAGTTTGTTTTGTTTTATTGATTTCTTTGATTTGGCATCTCTCGTGCACTCGCCTTCCCATCTTGTGTTTTTGTTTGTGTTTAAAGTCGTTATTTTGTTATTGTTCGTATTCATTGTTTGTATATATTGTAAATATTATTTTCTTCATTCACTCACGGCACTGTGGATTAATAAATCCTTTTTGTGAGCTGAGTTCTGAGGTCGGCTTCTTTTTCTTGCTCTGTCCGGTACATTGAGGTACACACACCATTTTTAAAAAAGTGTTATGCCCTTATCTCCCTAGACATCAAAAATAGGGACGTAACAGTTAGCCTAACATTACGTTAGAGATGTTAAAGATAACGTTCAAAAACGTTGTTGACTTAGAACAGATATAGACATCCTTGTTTAATTCTTGTTTAATTTATCCAAGTTTAGTTGGTGTTGTGGTCTACCGCATGACTTTATCCAGAGCCGACACTTATCTCGGTTGAGATGTGGCTTGGGAAAGGGTAAAAAATACACACCGTCGCCCTGCCTCTCGGGATACCTAGTGTCGGAGTTGCATGTACCCCATGCACACCGTTTGACCATTTTATACTTAAAATGACAAGAAAAAACATAAAAACGGATGAAAACTGACTAACTGCAATGCATTTCAATGGACGTGGAAACAGAGAATGTCCGAGTGTATTGGGTTAGCTATGGGCACTGTGATTGGCTCATCGCGTTTGAGGGCGTGGCTTAGCCATAGGTCAATTCTAAACACCCGATCGTCCTGGATCCTAGTCATCCAGCCACCAAGCTACTTATACAGGTCCT